AGACTAGCCACAAGATTAATTTGTCTGGCAACTTACAGGTGATGGCAAAAGTTAAGAATTTGCATTCTCCAAAGTTTACTGCAATGCCCTATGGAACAATAGCTCAGAGATGAGACAACATTCCTACTCCAAATCAAGTGAGCCAAACAAGCTCGACATAGAGTCTTATCAGATCAAGGTCACGGTTGTCCTTGGAGCTCTGGGGCAGGTGTCATTAGCTGACACGGGGACTTTTTCTCCATCAAGGAACATGCTTCCTTCTACTCCAACCAAGGCTACAAAACTTAGGGATTCTATGTGGGAGCAGTAACAGTCTCAAGAAACCCTGAGTCACTGTTATCATTTTTCTGCCTCCTGATTGGTTATTACCTGAATTTGGAGTTGTCCCTCTCCATTTTATGGAGGAAAATTGAACTTCCAGAGACTGAGATGACTGTCCCCACCTCCTTGGCTTCTTCCACATTGTGTTTAGGGGAATAGAAAAGAAACAAACAAAACACACACGAAGCCCCACAGGTGCTAGGTTACGTAACAATGGGTGCTATTGTGACTACCTGCCAGGATTCTAAGAACCTGGGGATCTGAGGAAACCAGTCTTACCTGACTTGTATGGTGAAGTGGCAATCTAGGAGGTAGAATGTGTTTAAGAGTCAGCTGTGCAGTTCATGGTTTTTAGGCCAGCCACCCCAACCCAGGCCAAGAAGGGAAGATCGCAAACCTGACAGACTGGGTAGCAGAAGCCTGCTTCGTGCTCACCCATCCTGCCTACCATCAGCCCTTCCCCTCAGCCTGCCACGCTGCTACCAGTCTGATAGTCTTTCGAGCTTTAGAATTCTTCTCTCTGTCCCAAGGCCACTGTCAAATTAAGAGATTCTTACCTACGCTCCTCTTTTCAGTTATGAGAACAAATTGTTGCACCAGGGACTTTGCCCTCTTCTTATAGATGATTTATATTTCAACGGGAGACTTTGCTAACAATTCTTTAAAAGAAGATCTAAAGGTGAAATTTATGTTCCGGTGTGGCGCTATGAAGTCGGGGGTGGGAAGGAAGGGTGACTAGCCTGGCAAGTAACATAAAGGGAGAATGGGGAAGTGGGAGAGAGAGAGAGAGAGACAGAGACAGAGATAGACAGACAGACAGGAGAGAAAGAGGGAGAGAGAGAAAGTTGGCACTTGCTCTCAAACTTGGCTGACTGTCACCATGTGGTAATGTGAGCCCGGAGTCACCAGATAGTCAGATTTTTTTCTCTCTAGAAAACCTGAAACACTGGATTTTTTATGAAACCTCTGTGTTTAACCATTGGCTCGAATAGTAAGTATCTGGTTTGAGATGAACAAAAAACATGTCAGGTTTAATGTGGACCATGGTCTATCAATGATTGAGCACTTTTAGACATACTCCAGTCATATTGTCCACAAATGAGATGAGACTGACCACTTCATTACAGACAAGGAGGTATTTATGAAGGTCAAGGCCATAGTTTCATGAAAACGAAGTCCTTTGCCTGCACTGGATGCAGAAGACACTGAAGGATGTATCTATGTGTCTACCGAAATAGCTTACTCGCTTGGCTATTACTGACCAGGTATCCAATTCAAATAGGAAAGGCACAGAATTTCAGATGATTCCAACCTGCTGCCCCACATTGTTTTTAACTGAGATAAAATTCACATAACATAGAATGAACCATTTTAAGTACAATTTAGCGGCATTTAGTACATTCACAATGTTGTACAAACGTCACCTTTAGTTAATTCCAAAACATTTCCTTCACCCCAAAAAAGGGACCCCTGCCCCCGTCAAGTAACCACTTCCTGTTCTCTCCTTCCCGCGGTCCTGGAAAACTTGAATTTACTTTCTATTTCTATTGATTTAATAATTCTGAATATTTCATATAAGTGGAATCTTATGTGACTTTTTGTGTCTGACTTCTTTCACTTGGCATATTTTCAAAGTTTATCCATGTTACAGTGTATATCAGTTTTTCACTCCTCCTAATGGCTGAATAATATCCCCTTATAGGACAGAATACATTCTGATCGATGTCTGGGTTCTTTCCACCCTTTTGCTATGGTAAATAGTGCTGTAAACTTTGTATATAAGTTTTGTTTGAATATCTATTTTCAGTTCTTTAGGGTAAATATTTAGGAGTGGAATTGCTGGGTGACATGGTAATTTTACATTTAACTTTTTTGGAGAACCACTAAACTGTTTTCCACAGTGGCTGTACCATTTTGTATTCCAACCAGCAATGTAGATGGTTCCAATTTCTTTCTATTCTCACCAACACTTGCTATTTTTGTTGTTGTTGTTTGACAACAGCCATCCTAATAGGTGTGAAATGGCATCTCTGTGAAATGGCAAATCTTTGATTTGCACTTTCTTAACGACTAGTGATTGAACTTTTTTTCATGTGCTTGTTGACCATTTGCATTTCTTCCATAAAGAAATGTCTATCCTGGTCCTTTGCCCCTTTATAAATTGAGTTGTCTTTTTGTTGTTGAGTTGTAAGAGTTCTTTACACATTCTGGATACTAGACCCTTATCAGATTTATGATTTTCAAATATTTTCTCCATTCTGTTGTCTTTTCACTATCTTGATAGTTTTCATTTTAATGAACAACACAACGCTGTTACGCTACCACTAGAGAGGATTTGTGATGATATCATGAAACCCTCTCAATATTTAATGGGAGAAACTGAGGGCTTGAGACAAAGTGAGCCCTTTGGGTTGTTTTACACCATGACCAGGCTGGGGAGTTCTGATTTTAACCTTTAGAATCTGTTAACACTTACATATGTGCTCAAATAAATGAGGGAAAAAGCCACCATCTCTCTCACCGTGTGTCCTGTATCACTCAAATAACAATTATCTTTTGGTCACTTCACAGAACCCCCTGCAAGCAGATGGTGTGATGGCATTTCCTCTTCCTTTCGCTTCACTCCTAGTCGGGAAAGTATGTGGGGTAGAGAGAAGTGCACTAGTGGTAAAGAAAGGAGGAAAGTGAGTTGTGTTATGCTGTACTTGGGAGTTCCCATTCCAGGTCATCTACAGATAGCTGAGGAAGCCACAGTACACATCTGAATGGCCGCAAGTGGAAAGCTTCCTCTACTCTCTGATGTGGTCATAAGGACACGCCTCTGCCTCATACCCCAGGATGCCCATTTCTCCTCAGCACTTCCCCTTAATTCACTCCAAGCCCCTCTCTTCCTCTGTGGTATGGGTGGCCATGGCCAAAGTCACTCATTTTCTGTCGTCTAGCATGTTTAATTCCCAAGCTAGCTGAAAGACACCTTCTGCCTTCATACCTGTTTGCAAGCTCCAGGACTAGCCTCGATGTGTAGGTTATGATCACACTATATTCAGCTTTGGGTTTTGCTGCTTTGCGGATTTGGAGCAGCATTTCTTCATTAAGTGTAATTTTCTTTTGGATAAAGTCCTCAAATAGCTCCATCTACCCTAACTTTCCCATTTCAGT